ATGACTACAAGCTTGACTATTATAGATGATTGTCTACTAATCTATATTTCTTAATTATACATTACATTTTTAAATGAGCTGCATACAAAATACCTTAATCAAGAGCAGAAATATACATATAACAAAATTGACCTTAAATTCATATTAATAGGCCAGATTCATACCAAGCAAATTATTCATCTCTATAGCATATCCCCCTTTAAATGTAAACAAACAATTATAAACAATATTTGGGAATATGAGCATAGTATTGTCCATACTGCTTCCTGTATGAATGATATGAGCAAGCAATGAGTAATCTGAAGTAAATTAACTCTTGTATGCTACAAGCAAGAGGAGAATGAACACATTCCAAGAACAAGTCCAAGTTTTTGAAGAAACTGAGGTCATGTGGGAATTGCTACCCCGAGTTATATTTCCCTGCCCCCATTCAAGGTGCTTATCTGCAAAGAATCAGAACTTCCCTCTGCTCCTGGAGTTGGATGAGGAAGTTTGAGTGCACATGATTATTCCTTGATCCCTGCTAGGGTCAGGTGACAGTCCCTACTGGGGACAGATGAAGGTGGAGTGCACGTGATCAGTCCTTGACCCCTACTGGAGTCAGGTGAGAGTTCGTCCTTGGGTCAGGTGACAGTCCCTTCGCAGCCCCCTCCCCATTTGGTGCCATGGTATAAAAGCTAGCCCCAGCAGAACAATAAACGAGCTGTTGTTTCACCTCAACCTCGTGCTCTGTGGATTTCATTCAACCTGGACACCCTCCGCCGAGACTCGTGGTTCCAGACCGTGCTGGCGTGGTAAGGTCATAACAATCTTGTCTTGTTTTCTTGAGATTTTCTCATAAGCACTCAGAAATCTCCTCATCGGATTTCATTCTTAGACTGTGTTCCAACAGATTCCCCTTTTTTATGTTTTTAAACACAGGATATCCAGAGTAGTTTTAAGATGATGTATATAAATGTAATTGTCATTTGATATATGAGTGTCCTGTAACAAGAAAATTATAAATGTACTAAATAATATTGAAGTTGTGAAAGAACTGTCTATCACCAAGAACAGGAATCCAAACTATTTCAAGGAGTATTGGTTATATTACCATATTGATCAAAGAATCTAGAGAACAGCTTGAAGAGATCCATATGATGAGTAGTTCTGGTATCTCATAGAACATAAGCCCACATTTGCCTTTAATTGGAATGCTAATGTTATGACATCTTATGCAAATGGGAAGTGGTTCAAATCCCAAGGAAAAATTAAATACAGTTCCTTCTTCAGATGGATGAATGAGTCTCTTATGGTTCCAAGGCCCACTTAGTCATCAACACAGAGCCATTAGTATTGATAACAGGAGCTGGATCCAAACAATCCAGTGTGAAGCTAAAAAGGATGAGTAATGTTAGATCAATACATGTATTCAGCGGCATTCACTGCAGATGCATGGGTCAAATCAACTAGCAGTGCCAGAAAAAGGTTTGCAGGTCACATAGAACAGAGTTTCATGTGTTTGTAGAACATCTTCTCCTTGGTGTATAGATTCTTACCTTGGCCCCAGGTGGGTTGAATATTCTGATGATGTGGTTCCTATCTCTTTTTCCCCATTAGCTGGAGGGTTGCTATCTTTCCTGTGACTTCCATGCTCTTCGCACCCTGTGCAGCTGTCCTTGATGGTCCCTGAAAAGAGGAGCTGAACATAAATCCATAATGTTTCAGTGCGTCTATCTGCAATGACAGATGCATATCTCTTCCCAATTTTTCAGCCAACTGAACTTCCAAGTCTCAAACTGTTTAAACCACACAGACCTAGCTCAAAACAGTTCAGAGTGCTCTGCAGAGAAATGATTTTGAGCTCTGAAACATATACAACCTGTAGGTTAATTTTAAAACTTAAAAGTACCTCTTGATACTTTCCCTTTTTTTAATTTTTTTTAGTGAACTGTTTTAACATGCTATTTGCTCTTTAAATTATATTCTGGTCTTGAGAATCTTAAGGAATGCCTGTAATATGATTAATACTTTACAGTTATTAAAATACTTTATTAGTATAAGCTATTCCATTGCAAGTTGTCTAGAAGTAGAAACTCCCATAATAGTAAAGGTTTTGATAAGAGTAGAGCCTACTACAGAAGCATTCTCTTGAGGATTGATGTACAGCCCAAAGAAATTTAGAATAGATATAAACAAATACATGCAGGTAGGGCATTCAAAGTTGAAGAGCAAAAGGTTCAAGACAGTCATTTATTATAATTCATTAGTGGTTTTAACTTAATTCAAGCTATATAACTCTACTGGTGTAAAAAAATCAATCAGATATTCCTCACAATTTATCTCACTTCTATACGTGGGATAGAGTATATTATGTATATTAAGTCAATTAGCTTTAGTGTGTAGGTGCTTATGTACCTGTTCTGGAGAAGAAAAACAAGGCAGGTTCATGCATCTGCTCACTTATTTCCTTAGCAATAAAAACACAGGGAGGTTAGAGTATGAGTAACAAAGGCTATGTGTTGGTTTTAATCAGAAGTTGTAGCTCCTGTAGTAATGGGAGAATGACAGCAAGTGAAGATAGAATTAAAGCAGCTTCTATTGCTGAAAATAATCCTACAACATAAGCAAGATCTAAAACAATATTTAAAGGTTTATAAATGAACTGTAATACATCAATCAAAACAGCTGGCTCCACATGTTGAGCTCTAGAAAAAGAAGTATTAATAGATTGATGAATTTCTGGACTATGAATCCTTCCTAATCCATTAGATGAGCCATCTATATAATGGTTCTGCCTCTAGAATGGAAGAGGTTTGGACATTTTTTGTAATCAAAATTCAGGTCATGTAAAAAAAATAGTATAGCTTGACAGCTGGATAATTTCCTAGCCTTCCACAGTAATCAGCAAATAATGTGAAAGTCCATGGAATTCTCTAACATGTTTAAACACTGATTGTTAGTTAAAAATAATATAATACAGCAAAGATCAAATTCATATAATATCAGGCAATATCAGGTCCTGATCAAGAAGAGTAAGGAAAGCTGGTAGTATATTTTTACCCCTTTTGGTGTAAACAAATCCATTCTAAAGGCTCATTCTCTGGTGCTATAATACCTGTAGGAGACAAATTAGTGGGGAGAATAAGTAATTTTAAAGGGAGTGAAAATCCACATGACACACAATGTCTCTGTTATTCCAGATTCAGGTATCTGTAGTTCTTCCTTTGCCTCCGAAGATAATGTGTGAGAAGCAATGCTGCTTCTCCTCTAGTTTTAAACAGAATAGTTAGTGCATCATGGGTACTCCTAAAGGATAACACAGTCGATTAATTGCCCTAATAACTTCTAAAAGTCATTGAGTGCTTTTAAATTATCTTGTCTGGGTGGCGCACGTCTTTAATCCCAGCAATCGGGAGGCAGTGGCAGGCAGATCTCTGTGAGTTCAAGGCCAGCCTGGTCTACAAGAGCTAGTTCCAGGACAGGCTCCAAAGCTACAGAGAAACCCTGTCTCAAAAAACAAAACAAACAAACAAACAAATAAATAAATAAATAAATAGTCTTGTCCAATGGACTTTTTTTGGTGTGGTTTAACAGTTATTCTAGTAACTAATTTCCCCAAATATTGTACAGTGTCTGATCTTTGTACCATTTCAGCGCAATAATAAGTCCATTTTGGTATATCCTGAGTCATGTCATCTATGGATTATGGCTCTTCCTCTTTGGAGCAGGCAAACAGGATATCACCTATATATTGAGTGACGTTAGGCTAAAGTGAGGCCTTCCTCACGGGCTCCAACACCTTTCCTATATAGTATTCATTCATAGTAAGGGAGTTTGTCATGCCTTGAGGTAATAGAGTCCACTGACATTGGAGCACCGGTTCTTTACGATTGAGTGAAGGGAAAAGGCAAAATGCATGTTATCATCATGATGAATACATATAGTATAAAAGCAATTTTTTAAATACAAAACTATTGAAGGCCAATATTTAGGAATACCTGTGGGCATGAGGAAACCTGGCTGTAAATCTTCTATTGGCCAGTTAGAGCTTTATGGCCTTTATGATGTAAATAAATCCATTTCACAGGTTTATCTTATGCTATAATATCTGTAGGTGACAATTTAGTGGAGAAATGAATATGTTTAAAGTCAACAAAGGAGCCATATGTTACATAATGCCTTTTTGGTCTGAATTTAATAGTTGTAACTTTTAGATTTTGCTGAAGTTGCACTGGACATACCAATTACAACTCATGAGGCCAGGAAGGAATTGGTGAAGGAAGTTAAGCTTTCCCACATATGCTCCTAAGTCCTCATCAAAATGGATAATTCAAAATTTGGTTAATGAGCAAATAATGCACCCCATGCTACAGGGTCATTTTCAGAAAATGGACAACATGGATGTAAAGACAGCTCCAGTAAGGGAGCTCGAGGAACTGTTGCCTACATAGATGTTGGGGATGCTATTTTTACTCTTGATTTTCCCTGAACAAGGAAAATCAGCTTTTTGCTTCTTTTACCACTTTTAAGGTTTGATCATAAAGATTATATTCATTCAAGGAATTCACCATCACTCCTTCATGTACAATATTCTCCCATTCTTCCTTAATCATTTTGATATCAGCTCCAGTTAATAATCAAGCGACCAAAAATTGCACAGGGATCTTTCCCACTTATTAATATGCCTTTTCAATGAACTTTTGGACTCTGTCCCATTTTGTTTCATCTAAAATTCCTTCTTGTGCAAACAGGAATAACAATCATAAACATTTGCAAGCGATTTAATAGTTGCAGTTTTAACACGTGTGCTCTTCCTAACTCTGAAAACTGATGGACTGGTTAGATATAAGGCACAGCCTTCCCTGGTTTCTGCTACCTTGTTCTCACTCACTTCCTTTTTGAGGGTCTTCACTCTCTTATCTCGTAGCCGACATCTGTTTCCTCTGCAAGCACAGCTTTTCACCACTCTAGAGATGGTGGGACCTGGGAGAGAAGCCAATAAATGTGGAAGACTAAAGTCTCATACAATAGCCAACTTTATTCAGAGCCCGAGACAATTTATATTTGGCAGGTTAAGAAAAGTCACATGAGGAAGAAAGGTCTCATGAGTTCAAGCTGTATACAATGATAAAAACAAGCCACCTGGGCCAAAACATGTCTTTCCATATGGGCATATAATGATAGTTTAAGCATTTAATGAGTAACAACAGCAAGCAATAATGTATAATCTGAAGTCAACTCACTCCTACCTACTACACCTGGGAGGAACACAAAAACACATGCCAAGAACAATTTCATGTTTTGAAGAAACTAAGGTCTCAAGACTCTTGTCTTTTCTTGAATTGTTAACATTAGCATATGGAATTCTCTTCAAAAGACCCCTTTCCAGAACCATGTTCCAAAAATACACCTAAATTTATTTTAATTTTAGGAAAAAACAAAACACATAAATGAAGGTTTTTTAAAACTATGGAAAATACACACACACAAATACATACATATCTATCTTTGTACCATTTGCATACCTGGTACCCAAGGAAGCCAGAAGAATGCAACAGATCTCCAGGACAAGGCTTTAGAAGTAGTTCTAAGCCATCTGATGTGGGTTCTAGTATTCAAACGTGGGTACCCAACAGCAGCTTTACTACTGAGGAAATCCCTGACTCCCAAATATGTTATTATAGTGTAGAAGATGAAGATGTGCCAGTACTCCTTCTGCTTTCTCTCACTTCATAGTGATGAAATTCCCTATTTGAGAATTGAAGGATTAAATGATTTCTATCTCTCTGTAAATGGACTCTGGACATTGCTTCTAATTGTAATTGTAAATACCATTCTCTTCATGTGAAAGAAGACAACAAAAGATTTACTTGAGTAGAGATGAGTCCAGATTATGTTAGAGAAAGTTCCACAATGTGACATATTCTTTTTTAAAAGAATAGTATATATTTTACATGCATAGGTGTTTTGTTTGCATGTATGTCTCTATGAGTGTGTTGGATACCGTGGAACATGACTTACAGAAAGTTGTAAACTTCCATCTGGGTGTTGGGAATTGAAACTCTGTCATCTGGAAGAATGACCAGTGTGTTTAATTGTTGCCCTGTCTGACCACAACCCTGTTTTTTTTATTTTTTTGAGACAGGATTTCTTAGTTAGAATTTTGGCAGTGGTGATATGGGAAGGATTATTTAGCCTACTCTTCAGTATTGCTGTTCATCTTAAAAGATGTCAGGACAGAAACCTAAATGGGGCAGGAATCTAGATGCAGGAGCTGATGCAAAGGCCATGGAGGGGGTGCTGCTTACTGACTTGCTCTCTATGGCTTGCTCAGCCTGCTTTCTTATAGATCCCAGGACCCTTCCCCATGAATCATTTTAAAAATGCCTTATAGCCATATCTTACAGAGGCATTTTCTCAATTAAGTTTCCCTCCTGTCAGGTAAGTCCAGTTTGTGCATGAAGTTGACATAAGACCAGTCAGTACAGTGGGTCAGTTCTCAGCTTCACATGCAAACACATCACTATTGAGCCACAACCTTTCCTTTCTTATTCATTCCCAAAATCTCATATTGAAAACATAAATAACTTTAATAAAAGTCCCATAATCTTTACAAATTCAAATGCATTAAAATTTTTCTTTAAAAATATCCAATCTCACTAAAAATCCAAGATCTCTTTTAAAAGTTCAAAGTCTTTCAATTATGGCTTTTTTAAAAATCAAACGTAAATTAAATACCTTCCCCTTCAAGAGGGAAGAATCAGAGTGGTCACATTCTGAAAGAAGGAAAAAGAAACTCCAACAGCATAAATAACTCCACTACTAATGGCTGGGACCCACCCACAATCTTCAGGTCCTCTCCAAAGAGCTTGGGTCACTTCACTGGTTCTGCCACCTGCAGTACAAACTTCTCTTCTAGGCTCTGACTGGTTCCATGTCACCACTGCTGACGGTCTGGATGGACACCCCATGGGACTGGCACCTCCAGCACCAAGGCGTCTGTGCAAAGCTTTACCTCTTCTGCGAGGTACATAGGATTTTTCTCTAGTATGTATTTTTTCATGATATTGAAGATGACTCCTACGTGCAAAGGCTTTACCACACTGATTACATTCATAGGGCTTCACTCCAGCATGACTTCTTTCATGACTGAGAAGATTACTGCGAGATGAGAATGCTATACCACACTGATTGCATTCAAAGGGTCTCTCTCCAGTGTGGCTTCTTTCATGCCTTTGAAGATGACTGTTATGTGCAAAGACTTTACGACACTGGTAACATTCATAGCGTTTCCCTCCAGAATGACTTCTTTCATGCCTTTGAAGATGATTGTTATGTGTAAAGGCCTTACCACACTGATGACATTCAAAGGGCTTCTCAACAGTATGATTTCTTTCATGCCTTTGAAGACTACTGGGATATGCAAAGGTTTTACCACATTGACTACATTCATAGGGTTTCTCTCCAGTGTGACTTCTTTCGTGTATTTTACGTTCACTGGGACGCGCAAAGGCTTTTCCACATTGATAGCATTCATACGGTTTCTTTCCTGTATGAATTCTGGGCACTTGAAGATAACTGTGACATGCAAAGTCTTGATCACCTTGATTATACTCATAAGGTTCCATTTTCAAATGTGGTCTTTGGTGTAAATGTAAAGAAGAATCAGATCTAAATGTTTCATCACATTTTTTATCCTCACAGGGTTCCTCTTCGGTATGGAACCTTCTGTGTGTGTGAAGACACCTGTGATGGGTCAAGCCTTTTGGACAAGGCTCACATTCACAGCATCCTTTTCCCAAATGAGTCTTTTCACCACTTTGATGAGAACTGGAAAGATTCAGAGTTTTGGGACACTGACTGCAAGCATAACATTTTCCTGCGGTGTCAGTCACGTTACATGTGCAGCATGAACCAGTGCAAGCAGAAGAATTTCCATATTCCCTGTACTCACAAGGTTCTTTTTCATCGTGTGCTTGTGGATGTGCTCCCAGTAAACTTGGAAATCCAATTAATTGAACACTTGTATCACAATCACTATATCTTCTCATAGCAGGAACCACTACATATCTCTTATTTTGGGGGGAAGAGAGAGAGGTGCATTGCTTCTTTCCATATCCCTTAGGATCACATGAGTTGTATCCAGAGTGACACATCATAGACCTATTTAGGGAACAATAACGAAAGGATTTCACATTCCATTCACACAGTTGAATATTTGTTCTTCATAGAGATGGGGTACAGGGATTAAGGTCTATCTACCACAACACCCTTCTTGACTGTCATAAACTGCCCCTCTCACTAAACTACGGTGGGTCACTTCAAGACTAACATTAGCTTGCTTAAGGGTAACTTGGACACACCCTCATCCCCTCATGAATGTGAATGCTTTTACAGTGCTTGAATGGAATACAACTAAATGGATAGTTCTACAATATGGATCTCGGAGGACTGTGACTAATACAGTGACATCTACTAAGGCATTGCTTCCTTGTCTTGTTTCTTAGAGGACCACCTTGCAAACACTGATTAGGTACCTGAAATTGAGGTACATGATACTGTAAAAATTTAATAATCATCACAAAGCTATAAGTATTTACACTGTTGCTTTTCATTAATATCAGGGCACATTAAAATTTCTTCAGAGATACAAATATATCACCTTGCACAAGAAAATTAATTACCTTCCATGTCTTCTAGAACTTTGACAATGTTCTTCAATATTCTGGTTTTCCCATTTGTAGCCTAAAATATATTATCAGAAAATATATGATATATTATTGGAAATTATGCAAAATTTGAGTTATTATCATCAGTGAACCTTAGAACCAGGCCTTACTTAGTCACCACATTTTTCTACTTTCCCAGTCGAAATCACAGTGGATCACCAACCTCCATTAAAGGCTTGTCCCCTTAAGTTTCAAAGTGAAGGAAACTCACAGTCTTACCTACAGCAGTGAGGTTCCAGTAGGTTTCCAGCATCACATCTTTGTAGAGACTCTTCTGGGAAGGATCCAGCAAAGCCCACTCTTCATGCGTGAAGTTTACGTGCACATCCTCACAGGTCACTGTATCCTACAATATCCCATATAAGTATGTAACAGAAATGTTGAGACTGCATTAAAAATGTACACTTCATTGTGAACATATTTATAATTCTGTGTGTTCCACAAATTTATTTAACATCACAAAATTTCAAATGCAATCACCAAGTCATTTTAGAAAGAAACAGAAGAGAATTATGACTCTAATTTCTGACCATCTAAAAAGTACATGGCATTGCAAGAGAAATGCTGACTTACACATAGTGAGAGACATGTAAACTGAGCAATAGTACTGAACATCAGCAAAACTTTATCGAAATTACTGACATCAAAAAAGAAAGGACAGGATGGGCATCCCAAAACTCAGGAGGCAGAGACAAGTATATCTCTATGATTTCCAGGCCAGTCTTGTTTATGTATTGATTTCCAGGATAGCCAAAGGTATATACTGAAATCCTGTCTCAAACAGAAAAGAGAGAGAGAGAGAGAGAGAGCACTCAGGAGCTCACTCTAAATTCCATCAATGAGTTAAAAATCCACTCAACATATGTAATTATCTTTCAGAAAACTGGAGTGCCTCACTCAAGCTATAAGGCTAATATGATATTCTTAAGAAGGAATGCATTTTAATAAGTTATTGCCTGATAGATTAAAGGATTATCAAAACCATTAACGACTAAAGGCTTATGCTAAAAAATAAAACAAACAAACAAGCAAAAGCCCAGTAGAGTATATAAAGACAGGTCAAGAGTTAAAATCATCTGTTGCTTTTCCAGAGAAGCTGCATCAATGCCAACACTCACTTGGAGCTCCCAACAACTTGTAATACTAGTTCAAGAGAATCCAGTGCTCTCTTCTGACTTCAGTGAACACCAGGCACGTACATGGTACACATGCATGGGTATAGGCAAAATATTCTCACACACATTTCGAAAATTAAAAAATATATTAAAACATACATAGAGATATGTAGAAAGTTACATATTTGCAATGTGATAACTCAGGAGATCAGTATTAATCTCATAAATGTATGCCATCCTGGTGGGAGAAATGATACTTTCTGCCAAAGTTTAAAAGTAAAAAAGTGGGCATAGCTCAGCACAAGAGCAAATGCTTCACATGTACAAAAACCTAATTCTTCCCAGCAAAAAGATATGAAGAATATCAGGGCAGAAAAAAAAAATGGCTTAGCAAGGAAATGCAATTACTTCTGCTTTACCTTATGCTATTTAGGGATGGAGTCTGTTATGGTACGAATTCTGCATGAGAATGAAGGGAACTGCTCGGTTTCAACTACAAAAAAAGGCAAGTGTGGTCAGGGAATAAACACTCAAAGCCCATCCCCACAGACTAATGTGGTCCAGGAAGGCCCCCCATACTAGTAGTACCACATGTACCCCGAAGAAAACACAAACCTGAGACAGAGTCTCAAATACAACTTTGTACTTGGAAAATTTTTCACTCAACCCACCACATTTTGACACGGGTCATGATAGGCTCACACTCAACCCATGATGCAAAACGCAATTACTCTAACCACACACAAACATCTCCATATTCTGTACCAGTCCCAACAACATTAGAACATACGAAGTTTCTTCGCACACTGAAGGCAGTCTCTTAATAGAGAGATCTTGTGAAAAAAAATTATATCTACACAACACACAAAGGTACAGAATACACATTTCCTTTTCAAAGAAGAAAGATTGCACCAAGGCAAGCCTGAACCCTGCTGGGCAAACACCAAGTCCTGCAGCTCTGTGTCAGGCACTTGGGGCTTCAGTTTCAAAGGGCTGAGGTGGCTCTTTCTCTCTGGAACTTTTCACACATCTCTCTCTTTGGCAACTTCCACTCCCTACATGCAGCTATTCATGAAAGGTGTCTCAAAGCTTGGGTACCTCAACATCTGGTGCTCTCAAAATGCAACCTAGTCTTCATTTTAATACCTTCATACAATGAACTATCACATCTCCTCCCTGTTGCTGTGCTCTGCCAAACAGGTGCCTGCAGTAGTGCTGAACTGAAGCACAGAGGAAGAACCCATGACCTTTAAATTGTGCATCTTTCTTCTTTCAAAAAAACGTGACACATCAATGACGCGTCCACACGGGGTCTAGATTTGTACTGGCTCTGCCCAACTGGAGCACACCAGCAATGAGTTCTGTATGAAGTTGCTTTCTGGGACTAGGAATCTTGTTGCCTTTTCCTTCACTATTTAAATGTTTGGCTGGTTGAGCAGTACCCTTGCAACACCTTTTCTGTATTTTCAAAGAGAAACAGGTGCCTTCTCTTTAATGATCCTAATCACCCTGATAATTAATGTCTCTGTTTCAGCTCATGACTGCCACTGTTTTTCTTGCCAAACCACACAGGTTTCATTAATATCTGCCCGTTGTTGCTCTTTTCCTCTACGGATCTGCATGAGTCATCAGTAATAAGCAAGCTACAGACTAAATGTTTTGTCAAGACAATCCATGACTCTTTAATCTAGCCTTCCTCATTTTCACAGGACACGGGATGAATATATACAGAAAATATGCAAAATATTACACAAGCATCTATCTTAATTACTACCCTTGGCTGTGAAGAAACATTATGACCAAGGTGACTGTTATAATGCAAGACTTTCAATTTGTGGCTTGAATACAGAGGATTACTTCACTGTCATCATGAATGGTAGCATCAAGGTAGGCATGTATGGGGCTGAGACTAACAACCTGATACACAGACAGACAAAGAGAAAGAAACAGGTATCTCAGCTTGGGTTTTTTTAAATCTCAAAGCCCATCTACAGTGACACCTTAACAAACAAGACACACCTATTCCCACGTGGGCATACCTCCTAATTTTACACAATTAGTTCCACTAATTGGGAACCTAGCATTCAAAGATAGGAGCTTGATGGTCTTGAGCAAATATAAACAATGAAAAAAATAGAGTAGACAGTAAATAAAATACATTTTATTTATTTTATTATTTTATTTAGAAATTTTACTTTATTTAGAAAGTAAATAAAATAAAATAAATAAAAAATAAAGTAGAAAGAGCTCTAAAGGAAAAGAGTGAAGGAAATTGAAGGAAAATGGAGTGAAGACAAATGAGAGGCAGACAGAGGAGGAAAAAGAAAGGGGAACAAAAGGAAGAAACTATTTACCCCACATAGGGGTGTCAGTACTTCTTGCTAGGTTGCAGACTTCATCAAAATAACCTTCCCTAGGTCACCTAAGAAGAGATCAAACAGTACAGGACATCCAAACTAAGACGTGAATCCCTATCTTTTCTCTGAGTGCATGGCATTATTCTTTGTTTCCCTCTCTACCCAGTTCTCAGAGAACCTGGGAAACCTTAGATTAAGTCAGTTAGAAGCAATGATGGCAATTCCTTGGTGTCTTCAATGTGACTTTTGTATGATGTCACCTGGACAGTGTATTTCTAACTGAGTAGAAGTGCCTCAAAAGGCTACTAAGGTTTTATATTCAGTTTCGCTGTTATAGCAAGTTGGATTCCAAAGTCTCAAATTCCAGCCAACATGGAGAGTCACAGATCTGTCTGAGCACAGCCCAGACCACACTCTACTGGGATAAAATGCAGCCAAACAACACGTTGTATATGGGGACTGAAAAGAAATGAACCACCTGGACGATAGCAGTTGGCTTCCAGTTACAATCTGTTGATAAGACACATGGACGGACTCAACTGTCTCTGCTTGAGGCCACAGAGTTCTTTCCTCTATTTCTTTGCTGTGTGGAGCCTACATGCCTAGGCCATAGGTACCATCTCCACCTATATTCATGATAACCTAATTAAAATGCCTTTTTAAAGAAATGGTGTAACAGTGCACATTTAAGCTTTGAGTACTGTGGGTCCCACTAGGACTTGTGTCTGATGGAGATGGGCTAATCTTAGCAGTGAGCTGAACCAACCTTGAAAAGAAAGCAACCTTGTGGTTTGCTGCTATCTTGGCTATTATGTCAATAATATACTATGAAAATTCAAAATTTGAGTCCAATAAAAACTCTAATAATTTATGCTATTAACAACAGAAAACTGATGGCAAATGGTCATCCTGAATGAAATAATGATCAACATAAGATTGAATAAATACCACACCAGTGACATCATCCAACTTCAAAACTTCACACACAACTACCATAAAGATTGTACCATCTGGGAAAGATAAAGAGATCAACAGAACATTAGAGCAAATAGACATAAGAACAGAATTAAAACATACTCGGTGTTGACCAACCAGATTAGAAAACCCAGAAAAACCAGATTAGAAAACCCTAGCACACGCGACTAGAACATGGTAGCATTTATATGCAAATGTATTACTAACAGATTTTAAGATCTGTACAAAATTAACTCCAGAGGGACCTTATACCTGCATGTTAAATGGCAAGTCCAGAACTGTGAGATTTTGGAGAAACTAGGGCTCGCTAGTTAACAGACCTGCCTTCCACTGTAACAGCAAAAGCAGCTGAGGTGTGCTCACTGCATGGTGAGGTCAACAATGAGTGTGTTTCCACACAAGGGCTCCTGCTCCCCTTGCTCAGGAAGGAAGGCATGACAGGAACTCAAGCACATCAGGAACCTGGAAGCAGGAGCTGATGTAGAGGCCATATAAGGTGCTTCTTACTGGTTTGCTCCCCATGGCTTGCTCGCCTGCTTTCTTACAGAACCCAGATCCACCAGCTTAAGGATGGCACCATCTACAATGGACTGGTCACTTCCCCCATCAATTACTAATTAAGAAAATGTTCATACAGGCTTGCCTAGAGCCAGATCCTATGGACACACTGTCTTTATTGACACTTCCTTCTCAGATGAATCTAGTTGTGTCACATGGACATAATACTGTCCAGACACTGATGATTCATTCACCTTAATGAGACTAAACGGAAACCTGGATGAGTGACCTCTGAAGTGGGGAGAACAGAAAGGAGCTGCCAGAGCCTATGTCCTGCTGGATTTAATGCCTAGGGCTAGAGGAGTGTAAATGCATTCTGCTCTTAGTACTTCTGTATGTTT